TTTCTCAATGGGCTCCAAATCAAACCAAACACAATAGCTTCTCTATATAAACGTATCCAAATATTTATTCTAGGTACTCTGGGGGTTTTCCTTTTCAAATGTTGCTTCTCATGGCACTGAATTCAGTGGATACTGAATCCCTGCAGACTTAGCAGGCATGGTTTCGATTAGTCCTCGGTATTTAAATTAGGACGACTGCCAGGATGGTCAGTGAAAGCAAATCACAAGCTTAGTGATCCAAGCCTGCTACTTTGCATTTATGAATGAATTCTATGCTTGTCTGATTCAATGGTTTGTTTCTTTTTTCTCAGAGCTAGTTCTGAGTATTCTTCTCATAGCCTATAGTCTGATATTTTTTCATTAGTTACAGCAATAAATAATAGATGGTGATTAATATCATAACAGGAAAATGACTACAAACTGTTACATGAAATTTGTGTATGCCAAGGACAGACAAGCGTGCAGACCCCAAAGGAGGAAGAAGGAAATGCTTAAGTGTTACAATAACCAAACAGACCTGTCTAGATTGGTGCAGTATATGTGAAAAATTAACTTGACAACTCAAACAAAAGATGATTTTCTGATAGCTGGGAGGTTTTTAAAAGGAGGTTTAGGTTCTGTTTGCTTATCTTGAAGATGCAAATAATTGATAATGCTAACAACCAAAGAAGGGAAAGAGGGGAATCTGAGTCATGAAAGTCGTATCTCGACTATAGATTGATGAACTTGGAAGTACAAACTACTCCGGAAGCTGCAGCAGAGCCACTTGTCCCCACATCTTACTTTGCTTGTCCCCATGTCTTTACTGTGCCCGTTGTGGCCAAGCACGAGGCTAATACTGTTTAACCAGGAGGATGTAGGTGAAGGTTACAATGCCATTTTTCTTTGCTTCTTCTTCTTCTTTTTTTTTTTTTTTTGTTTAAAGGTGTCTTAGGGTTCCTATTGCTGTGAAGACAGCGACTTTTTTTTTGTTGTTGTTGTTCACTTGTTTTTTCAAGATAGAGTTTCGATGTGTATCCCTGACTGTCCTGGAACTAGCTCTGTACACCAGGCTGGCCTTGAACTCACAAAGATCTGCCTGTCTCTACCTCCTGAGTGCTGGGGTTAAAAGTGTGTGCCACCACTTCCCGGCTTACCACGGCAACTCTTATAAAGGAAAACATTGAACTGAGATGGCGCTTTACAGTTTCAGAGGTTAGTCCATTGTCATCATGATGGAGAGCATGGTAGCATGCAGGCAGACATAATACTGGCTACATCTTGATCAGAAGACAACAGAAAATAGTCTCAGCTTCACACTGAGCAAAGCTTGAGCAAAGGAGACGCCAAACTTCTCAGCACAGAGACACACTTCCTCCAACAAGGCCACACCTATTCCAACAAAGCCACACCTCCGAAGAGTGCCACTCCTATAGGCTTATGGGGGCCAACTGCATTCAAACTACCCCAAAAGGCTACTAAGAACTGAAATGCTTATTTTTCAACACATTTCAAGTGGTCTGGGATGGTTTGGGATGGGACCAAAACTCACTTGCTTAAACAATGACATTTGTTTGTATAGAAGTTTCAGGTATGGGGAAATTTTTTTTCTGGGAAACAACAGAAGTCATCATCTAAAAGTTTTGTCGTTTCTTAGCAAGATGAAGTTTCTGATGCGGACGTTCCTTCTGACCGTTCTGTTTTCTTTTGTTCTCCCACTAGGTGTCACTCTGCAAACCTGAATGGGGTGTACTATCAGGGCCCCTACACAGCAGAGACCGATAATGGAGTAGTCTGGTACACCTGGCATGGATGGTGGTATTCCTTGAAATCTGTGGTTATGAAAATTAGGCCAAATGATTTTATTCCAAATGTCATTTAGTTGTTCCAATTGGCCTCTTTCTGCAATTCATATTTTGAAATATTTGAGAAACACAATCCTGAATAAATATTTGCCTGGTGTTGGCAATTGTGTGTGACTTCTCATTCTTCGTCCTGCACTTATTACTTAATGTACTTTTAGTTCAGGGGATAGGAAATAAGCAACAAATAAACGTAGATTTTTGTTAATGTTTACTGAGTTTCTATGTATATAGGGGTATGATAAGAGTTCAAACTGTATAGAAAACAGCATAGACTAATTAACATGGTTAAGTAATAACACAAACCTAAACTTGGAAACAATAAACCAAGTTTGGCTGGTGTGGTGGTGCATGCCTTTAATCCAAGTCCTCAGAAAACAAAGACGGCTTGGATCTCTGAGTTCGAGGCTAGACTGGTCTACAGGTATGTTCCAGGAAAGCTAGGGCTGCACAGAGAACCTGTCTCATAAAAAACATAATCAATCATGTATGATGCAACTGACAGATCATAAGATAAAACACAGCTAATGATGGATATTTTGACCAAATCTACTGCATAAATAAGTATTACAAGCTGGGCTTTGAATTCAGGTCTCTGACTGCAGAGTTAAACTGTTAACGCACGATCTAGGTTCTTAAATGATACAAACACTACTCATCTTCAGGATATTTCTGTAATTCACACCTTTCTTGGTAGGCTTTAGTTTACACTTGGTGTTAGTTGATGGTGGAGAAGCAACCAGAGACCTCCTCTTCCTTCATATGTCAGCCCTGGGGAGGTAGGACTATTGCCATTTAGCTGAACTGAGACTTTCTGAGTTTTGGTTAATGCTCAAAGTTATAAGGTTAGCCAAAAACAAGAAGTCAGATCCAATTGTTGGTGCTAAGTGAAATTATTTGACACCATCCTGTGGCTCTTTTGGAATGAATCTAGATTGGTGTTTTTATGTGTGGGTAAAAGAAAGCTTTCAAAATTTGTTTGCATGCTAACCTTGTGTCAGGCCAAAAGATTGAGCCCATACAGCTAAGTTAGGGGGAAAAGACACACCAATTGCAAATTGTAGGTATTTTTGTCACTGGGGCCACCATAGGCAGGTCAGCAATATGGCTGCCTCCTGCTGGTGCCAAGGGAATCACTTCTGTAATCTTACTGCCTCTGAATAATTTGGCATCTTTGATCTATTGGATCTGTGCCAGGAATGCCTGTCTTTACCCCGCAATGTGCCCTGTTCATTTTAGACTTATCCAGATAGTGGTGTCCTCAGCTCCCGGACTTGTCACGTCTGTCAGAAACCTAACATGCAAACACATTGCAACAGTCCTTAATACAGTGGCCCCTTTGGTTTCCAGCTTCCCGACTGTCAGTCAGAACTGTAACACACAACCTGACAGGAAAAGGCAAGAGAAACAGGACAAAGGCAGTCATCCATCTGTTCCTCTGCCTTCATTTTGGCCTCTGGCTGAGGAGAAAGGCTAGTTATAGGAGAAATCATAGGAAAAGTCAATGGCAAGAAAGAAGTGCTTGAGGGGGCGAGTGTTCTGCAACAAGGCCCACAGTCAATTCTTGGATGAAATGAGGATGAAGTTTTGAAATTGGGTAACTGACCTGAAGAGGATCCTTATTACAAGTACTGGGCTCTAACGAGTCTGAAGGTACAATTCAGAACTCTCCTAGTTTCCGAGTTGTTGAATGTGGATATTTGTACGTATGATGTCCTTGCCAAAGAGATATGTGCTAAACTTGGTGTAAATTGTACCAACTGATGGGCAAGCATAGAACACTAGCACTGTACACTAAGGTTTTCTAAAACTTACTAGTGTAAATATCCCTAGAGCTGGTCACAGATCTAAAAGTTAAAATGGAAAGTCAATGTTCTGTGGCCTATAATCCACTTAGCTAGCTGATTTTGAAGTAATGTTATCCTTGATGGCTATCAATGTTTCTCCAAAAACAAATAGTTCACGTGAGATTGCTTACAGTACAACCTCAGTATGTTTTGAAAGGAAGATGGTCATCAACTCAGCAGGGCCATTAAGTCAAAAAAAATTTGTGGCAAATGGTTCCCTTCATTTCACCTCTGCTGACAAAATGACGCATATTGTAAAATGCTACCTTAATGGCAACATAGTCAGCAGGGATGATGGGTTGCTCCTATGTAGGAAGACACTGCTCATCAATGTTCTTTCCAATCATCTCCTTGGTAACCACATCAATGAAACAAAGGGGAAAGGATAGAGAAGCTCTCAGATTGCACTCGATCACCTAAAGAGATAAGCCCAAGGGGCTGGAGAGATGGCTCAGTGGTTGAGAGCATTGCCTGCTCTTCCGAAGGTTCTGGGTTCAGTTCCCAGCAACCACATGGTGGCTCACAACTATCTGTAATGAGGTCTGGTGCCCTCTTCTGGCCTGGAGATATGCACACAGACAGAATATTGTATATATAATAAATAAATAAATAAATATTAAAAAAAGAAAGCTAGAAAGAAAAAAAAATAAAAGGTAACATTAGTTTACTATTAAAAAAAAAAAGAGATAAGCCCAAAAGGCAAGAGATGATGGAAGACAGTAACAATCCTAATATTAATTTTGTACTTTGGTTTCCCTCTGTGATTACCCCATTTCCCTAATCCCATCCCCTTTATCTCCACTGCTTAGATTTCTGACTAATTGGTTTCTTTGAGAACATTATCTTTGGGTTTTGACTCATTTCCATCCCACTTCCCCAGTTCAATTCCTGCATACTTCGGATACATTTCATTTAATGCAGAGTTTGGATGATGTCACCACTGGAAATGAAAAGTCCCCACTGGAATCCTGATGGCTTCATATTAAAACCTGGCTGCTGAAAATCCTCAAAAAAAATAGAAAATAAATGTTTTCAAAAGTATGAAGTAGAAAGGAGAAATGTGTGTGTGTCTTCGTGGCTGTATGATGTAAAACAGGGTCCTGACATGGGGGTGGAGGTGGGGTGGCATTAGAGACACTTCGAAGTGATGGGGGAGAGTCTTCTGTTTTGTGTTAATTTTATTGGTTAAATAAAGAGCCTGCCTTGGCCCTTTAATAGGACAGAAAATTAGGTAGGCGGAGTAGACAGAACAGAATGCTGGGAGAAAGAAGCCGAGTCAGGCAGTCGCCATAATTCTCCCACCAGACACAGACGCAGGTTAAGATCCTCCCTGGTAAGCCACCTCGTGGGCTACACACGTTATTAAAAATGGGTTAAAGCAAGATGTGAAAATTAGCCAGTAAGAGGCTAGAGCTAATGGGCCAACCAGTGTTTAAAAGAATACAGTTTCCGTGTAATTATTTCGGGTAAAGCTAGCCGGGTGGTGGCCCGCTGCTCCTGTTACAACAGAGTGGCACCCAACGTGGTAATGAACTCCACGTAAAACCTGAGAGGGCTTAAAAAGGAGAGAGAGAGAATTTAAGACAGCTTTTTGCTGTTTGTGGGTTGTGTGCCGCAAAGAAATTGTCCTGACTCAGCAACAGAAAAAAACTGGCTGTTTTAAAGTGCCGGCTCTCTGGGCTGTGCCGCCATTGTGATCTCTTCCTGGCTTCTACGGGAGACAGAGCTTTTGAATGGAGCATTTGGAGTAAAGTGCTATGATTTGCTTGATGGCAATGTGGACTGCTGTATGCCTGGAATATTTGGAGAATCGTCGCAGGCTGAGAGAACCCTAATGCAAAACACACAAAACAAGGCTATGCAGAGAATAAAATGAAGGTTAAAAAGGTAATCTAGCTAACTGGCCCTTAATACCGTATGTTATAGCAGGTTTACAGCTTCTGCTCCACGGCAGAGTGACCTTGGGCCGGCTGCTAATGTCTCCAAGCCTTAGTTATCCTATCTATAAAACAGACATTTTTTATAAAGCGTGGAGCAGAAGCTGTAAACCTGCTATAACATACGGTATTAAGGGCCAGTTAGCTAGATTACCTTTTTAACCTTCATTTTATTCTCTGCATAGCCTTGTTTTGTGTGTTTTGCATTAGGGTTCTCTCAGGGTTGCTTGCAGGGTTATACACACCTATAATTCCAGCACTCAGGAGCTAGAGGCCATTGGATTATGGGTTTGAAGTCAGCCTGGGCCATACAGTGAGATAGTGAGAGCCAGCCTGGAACAGTATTCACTGTCTCAAAAATTCTGACAAGCTTCCAGAAGCCATATGTGTTACAAGTCTAGGAATGACGTTCTGAAAAGTAAGCGTATAGGGAAATCATAGTTCCTTGGGAGGCTAATGTCTAGTACAGGAGAAAAGGCTACCTAAACAAATTTAGGCAATATTCTCAGGTCTTTTTAGATCATTAAATATGCTAATTAATTCTGAAATTCTAGTTCAGAGTAGTTAAGCTTCGGGATATAACTAAGTACCTGAATATAGATGTCCAAACAGGAATCCATTCTTATATAACAAGACCTCAGAAGGTAATCAATTGCTAGACTAGGTTCAAAGGCCTTGTAGGTCAAAGGCTGACATCTCTGCAATGCACCTGTCCCCTCTTCAAAGCTCAGTTTTTCCACTTTAGTTCTGTTTTTGGAAGCTTTAAAACAATCAGAAAAAGTCAAAACTTTCAATTCATGTCTTACTGGCTAAACTTGAGCCATACTGTTTGGAAAAAAATAAACTAGGTGTTGAACTAAAGAATACATGAACAAATCAAAAGTATTTTTTGTGAAAAGGTATACCAGAATCCAGACCAGGCTAGTGAACACATTTGCCAGAATGGCCTCTCTATTATCCCTGACATAGGCAGTGATTGGTGGGAGCTCAACTTCTCAATCTGATGTAATTGGCTATCACCGTCAACTCAACTACAACTGTATCCCATGTTCCTGGTACCATAGTTTGACTTGGTCAGGGTTCTCTAAAGGAACAGAATCAAGCAGACATTCCTATCTTCTTCTTCTTCTTTTTTTTTTTTTTTTTTATTTTCGAGACAGGGTTTCTCCGTAGTTTTTGGTGCCTGTCCTGGAACTAGCTCTTGTAGACCAGGCTGGCCTTGAACTCACAAAGATCCTCCTGCCTCTGCCTCCTGAGTGCTGGGATTAAAGGCATGCGCCACCACCGCCCGGCTACATTCCTATCTTGAATGAGAAAAATTACTACAAGTCATCAAATACAACAAAGAAAATGTCAAATCTTACAGCTTTAATGACCAACATTGTAAACTTGGAAAAGAATCCTCTGGGCTCCAAAGAGCTTGGGGAGCAATATCCTTTGAAGACTGTTTCATCTTCTAACATCCCATAATTTAAATATGATAATAAAGATTCACTACCCTTGACATTTTATATTATCTCAATTGATGTTACACTCAAATAAAACCATGGATATCTACTTGTGTATGCACAAGTATATTCCTAGCAAATAGAGCCAAGACACACGGGTTAAATATAACTCTCATTTCTGCAGTTGGTTATGTGGCCTTCGCTGGTATTTATAACATCCTTTTCTACCCATTTCTTTTCTTCCCTCCAGCCTCAGCAAGCACACCAGTGGCTCTTTACCTGGAGGGGTGGCCCATGCTTTCATTCTTGAAGGATCTTGGTTATTTAACATCCAGCCTAAATTGGGTTGTTGTTTACCAGAGACTTTAATCACAGGGCATGGTGACACCAAGGGATGCCCTAAAGGAGCTCCTGCGTGCTAGACGTGCTCTTTCTTACCTCTGTTGTGGAGAACAAGCCAATGCCCCCCTGGTAAACTGGATCAATCACACCTCCTAACAGTTGCTCCTTTCTCTTAGCCTGTTAACTCAAGGGTATCTTGAGCCCCAAAGAGCCAGGAGGGGGGTCTTAGACTCCCAATTCAATAGGATATTTGTTGTCCCCCACAGGCAAAATGGCAACTTCTCCTAGAGCTAAACTTTTTAGGCCCGAAAAAGCACAAGGCTGCAGAGAAACATTTTTTTTCTCTAGTGAGTCACTATGGAATGGAGCTTGGAACAAGTTTGTCTGTCTGTCTGTCTGTTTATTTATTGTTTTTTTCAAGACAGGGTTTCTCTGTGTAGCTTTGTAATGTGTCCTGGCACTCGTTCTAGACCAAACTGGCCTTGAATTCACAGAAATACACATACCTCTGCCTCCCAAGTGCTAGTAAAAGACTCTCGAAGAGGTCCTTCTCTCGGGAGGAGACCTCCCCGATGCCAAGGAACAGGCCGAGACCACACGGATGCAAATTGCAAGAGGTTTATTGGGTAGACACAGGTACCTGCGGGCAGCAAAGTCTTTCGGAGGACTTGCGCACCTGCTGACTGGAGGGCGGGCTTTTTATAGGGAAGAGCAAAAAGCAAGTTTACAGAAGCAGAAGCATGGTTATCGGTCAATCGGAATAAGGTGGGGTCATGAATGGTTTCCTCTCCCAGCATGGGTGTCAGCAACAGTCATCCTGTTCCTATCTTATAGATACCCTGTTTTGCTGTCAACCTGCTTTGCTGATGTCCTATCTTATTGATATCCTGCCTTGCAGTCATCCTATCTCGTAGACATCCTGCTCTCCTAAGCAAATGGAATGTTCTTTTTTTTTTAAATATAATTTTTTTATTGAAAAAAAAAAAAGATTTCCGCCTCCTCCCCGCCTCCCATTTCCCTCCCCGTCTCCCTTTTCCCCCCTCCTTCCTCTCCTCTCCCCCTCCCCCCCACTCCTCTCCCCCTCCCTCTCCAGTCTGAGGGGCAGTCAGGGTTCCCTGCCCTGTGGAAAGTCCAAAGTCCTCCCCGCTCCATCTTGGTCTAGGAAGGTGGACATCCAAACTGGCTAGGCTCCCACAAAGCCAGAACATGAAGTAGGATCAAAACCCAGTGGCATTGTCCTTGGCTTCTCAGCAGCCCTCATTGTCCGCCATATTCAGAGAGTCCGGTTTTATCCCATGGTTTTTCAGTCGTAGTCCAGCTGGCCTTGGTGAGCTCACAATAGATCAGCCCCACTGTCTCCGTGGGTGGGTGCACCCCTTGTGGTCCTGACTTCTTTGCTCATATTTTCCCTCCTTCTGCTCCTCCTTGGGACATTGGGAGCTCAGTCCAGTGCTCCAGTGTGGGTCTCTGTCTCTATCTCCATCCATCTCCAGATGAAGGTTCTATGGTGATATGCAAGATATTAATCAGTATGGCTATAGGATAGGGTCATTTCAGGTTCTCTGTCCTCAGCTGCCCCAGGAACTAACTGCAAATGGAATGTTCTTATGAGAGCAGGCTGGCTGCTGATCTGAGAATTTTTCAAGCAAACAGGGCGTTCCCCTCTGGAGCATGCTAGCTGCGGGTTTTGAGGAGGGGGTCTGTAGGGTCTTTCACTGGGATTAAAGGCATGTGTCACCACTGTTGGGACAAGCTTAAATAGTGTATTATTTGTTCAAGTAGTAGCCTGAAGAACTCATCCAATTAGGAGATCAGAAGAGGAAAAGTTTAAGAAGACAATTCCACAGCAAATTCCACTCTGTCTTTCAGTTCAGGTGATTGTTGGACTTGGTAAGAATATGGTTTGTCTTAAATCTTCAGTGGGATGGGAGGGAGCCAGAGGGTAGGTAGAATGGATGTGTCATTGGGGAACATGAATATAAAGGACACCTGGCTGCTTTGATCTGAAGCCTGCGCACTAGGAAGACCTACACTCTAAAGTTCCTCAGCTGGGCTTGCTGGGCCAAGTTTGTAATCCCAACACTTGGGAGGCTTGAAGCCTGAGGAGCAGAGTCAGAGTCTGTCTTCAAACAAAACAAAACCAGAATTAAGAAAAAAATAGTAAAATAGTTATACCCTACCATGCTAGAGTTATTTGCTATGCTTTACCACTTTCTGCGTGTTTGTATGATGTGCATTCACGTCCATGTGAGCCCTTACGTGTGCACAGTAGTATATGTATGTGTGTGGAGCCTAAAGTTGACTTTGAGGGTATTTCTTAATCGTTTTCCACCTCCTTCATTTAGACAGGGTCTCTCAATTGAATCCAGAGCTTATCAGCATATATATTTCATTAAATCATACATATACACATATATATCATATAGCATATATTATATATACTGTTTTCTTTTAAGGTTTCTCTGTATAGCTCTGGTTGTCCTGAAACCTACTCTGTAGACCAGGCTGGTCTTAAACTCAGAGAGATGCACCTACCTCTGCCTCCTAAGTGCTGGGATTAAAGGCATTTGCTACCACTGCCCAGAGAGATGTTAGCAGTTCTTATG